AACCAGTTTTTCAAAAAAATTTCTAATATAAAAAAAACACACACACACACACACACACACACACACACACACACACACACACACTTGATTTAGAGGAAGACGGGAATGATTTCAATGATCAGATAAACTTGACAACATTGTGTCTCCAAGAGGGTTGTATGAAAAACAAAAACCGCCGAATTTATTTTGCCAGGGGTATTTTCTAGGATTTATTTTTTTGTAAAATATTAATTGTAACAAGTGACAGCGAATTACAATAGGACACTCAATAGTGCTGATGGTAAAATGATGGAGAGAGACATACTTTAAACACTATATGCCTAGTGTACTTTGAAAGATGATTACTCTGAGCACTCCAGGACAATCTCTAACAATATCTTATTTATTTCAGTATACCACATTTTAATGGGTAAAACTGATTGTTTACCCTTTATTGTATTATGTTATCATTAGCCAGAACTTCAACCTTTGTCTCAGGTTCTCAGCCTACACCTAGAATTAATATTAATACTTTGCAAGCAATTGATGTATCACTGACTTTAAGCTGTAACACCATCACCTGCAAGATGCATCAAAAATTTAGATGTCTAAAATGTGAAAACAAAACAAAACGATAACAAACTTACTCTCTGTCTTTCTCTGGTCAACTTAAAATAAAATAAATTAAAAAATAATAAAATTAAATCATTCTTAAAAAAAAATTCCTGATATGTAACCGTTGGGTTAACATTAAACTGAAAGGGAGTTATCTTGCTGTTACCAAATCTCCTTCATTGCCACAAGTCATTCTAGTTTCCTCCTCCTGCTTATAGCTTAGGTTTCACTTCAGGATGAGAGACCTGGCTCCACCATTTGGCACCCGTTTACTGAAGTGCTCTGTTTCTGCATGTATGCAGAACTGTATCAGAATTGTTCATCCATAGGCCCATGAGGGGCTTCATGAGCTAGAGCACACCCCTTTGCCTTTGGTTATCCAGATTTAGTTTTAGAACTAGTTAGGTTGGCAACTTAGTAGTTCGCCCTGAATTCAGTGAAGTTATAATGAAGTTGGAATATTTTGCCACAATCTTTATTTTCTACTGTGATTCCTTCTGTCTCTTAGATTTTTTTTAAAATTTATGTGTGTTAAGTTTCACTCTTTGTGCTTAAGTTTTGATGGGTTTTGACAGAAGCAATGTTTCATGTATCTACAATTACAATATCACACAGAATAGTTTCATAACTTTAAAATTCCTTTCTGCATCATTTATTCAACTCTACCTTCCCTGCACCAATAACCCTGAAGCTAGTAATCCGCTTTTCACAATGGCCTCTTTCACTTAGCAGTACAAATGTAAGATTTGTCCAGAGGCATGATGCTTCATTTCTTATTTGCACTAAAAAATATTCCATAGGATAAATGTGCCACTGTTTGTTTATGCTTTCTTCTACTGAAGGCTGTCTTGTTTGATTCCAGTTCTATGTTTACAAATACAACATATGCAAACTACATGCAGGCTTTTGTGTGAAAATGAATTTTTAGATCAATTGGTTCAGTACTTAGAAACATGATTGTTGTTTCTTTGGTAAAGCTATAGAACTTTGTAAGGAATGGCCAAACTGCATTCCAAATAAGTGTACCATTTTGTGTCTCCTCCCACAATTAAGAGAACTCTTGTTATAGATATACAATGCTATTTTAGTGTTGTTTTAATTTATAATTCCCTAATGACAAATAATGTTGAACATCCTTTTATTTTCTTACCTGCCAACCGTGTATGTTCTTTGATGTGTCTTTACAGATGTTTTCCTAATTGATTAAGAATTGTGTTGCTTATTGTCCTAACATTATGAGTTTTATAATTATCCTAATTAAAAGACTTGTGCTTTGCAATTTTTTTTCCCGAGACATTTACTTTTCATTCATTTCTTACATTTTTTCTAAATACTAGAAGGTTTTAATTTTGATGAAAAGCAAATTAGTCTTTCAAAAAATGAGTCATCCTTTTTATATTCTAAGAAATTATTTTCTAATTTAAGGTCACAAAGGTTGTCTTCTATGTTTTGTCCATTTTTGCTTTAGTTATAACTTTAGCTTGGAATTGCAATATACTTTGTGTTAATTTTTGTATATTATACAGTAATGGCTGAGGTTCTTTTTTTGTGTTTATTAATGGATTTTTCACTGTTTGGGAAATAACACTTTTGCCAACTTTGTCTAAAGCCAATTGTTTCTTTGTCCATTTCCAGATTCTCCATTCAGTTCCACCGATCAGTTACAGTTCCTAGGCCAAGTGACACCATTTTGATTATTATAGTTTTAAATCTTCTTTTTCCTTTCATTTAAATAAATTTATTTCTTGTAACTTTGCCTATTTAAATTGTGTTTTTGTTCAGTTTTGAGAACAATCCTTACAGGATGATGAATAATGAACTAGGTTAATAGATAGCAGAATAGGAAAGTGGAAAGTGTGAATAAAATGTCAGGAGACATACATTCAGAGCTAGTTAAGTTTGTTCAGAGCCTAAACTGGATAATCTACTACTAAGCACATTCACCTCAGAAAAAGCACAAAGATTCTACTAGCTGGTACATAGGGTTTCTTCACTCAAATAAAAGTAGATAGACCAACTAACCTAGAAGCTAAAATACAAAGAAATGCTCATTTTAGAATATCCTAGTTTCAAGACCAAATGCAGTTCCTCAGGCTGAAGGCACAACATACTCGATTCTTCCCCCAAATAAAAAGCACAAAGGAAGGCTGGGGAGGAGTCTCACTTTAGGATCTTGCTCTTAAACTGCTTAGCACAACTTGTGGGTGGATGTGAGACAGCAGCTGTGGTTGCAGTTGGACAGGGTCTCGAAGCTGCACTTACTAGGGTTGGCTTTATCACAGAGCACCTCCATGCAGACCCCACACACGGTGTCCTTACAGCTCTGCACTCCCAGCAAGAGCTCCACGTCCTTCTCATGGGCTTCATGCGAGATATTTTCCTTTTTCAGAGGTTTTTGCCTCAGAGTGTGTGCACTTGTCAGCAAGAGACAGAGACAGAGAGGGGAAGTGAGAAATCACCCTCCAGGGAGGATGGCTATGCCACAATCCCTTCTTCTCCATTCTCCTCTGAAGATCTCGGGCACACATGCATATGCACCAGTGTGATCTGGTGCCCTAACCACCATGCCACCGTTTACCCAAGAGTATTTTCTTATATTTGTGATTAAAACTTAAAATAAGTAGCTTCCAGAAGAAGTGGCAAGACTGGATCCTGCACTCATGTTGTTAGATATATTCCTGAATTTTCTATTTTGATGATGCTATTTTTAATATTTGATGTCAAATTATTCATTAATGTATGTATTTAAAAGTGATAAATATCAATTTTTTATTGTTTTTGTTTTGAAATAGGCAGCTTGCACTTGCTGGAGAGAGAGAGAGAGAGAGAGAGAGAGAGAGAAGAGAGAGAGAGAGAGGAAGTGAGAAATTGATTCCTGCCCCCAGGGGGAATGGCCATGCCACAATCCATTCCCCTCCATTGTCCTCTCTGGATATCTGGCACACATGTACATGCACCGAGCGCTTTTCTAGCCATGTTTACAGCTGTGTGCTTCAGGACTTGAACCATGGAGTAAGCTATGTAGGATTCGGCCACCTTAGCTGCCACATTACCTGCTGTCCCAAATCACAATTACTTTGAAATTAGGTATGGATACTGCAATTTTTCTAAACTCACTTATTAGTTCTGTTGATCTTACGGTAGGTATTTAGACCCTTCTGTGTAGACAATCATAGTGATTGTAAACAGAGATCATCTTTTACTTTTCTTTCTGGTCTGCAAGCCACCTGTTTTTCTTTTTTTCATTTTGCTCATGTTGAGCAAAAACAGAAAAAAATTGATATTCTAAATGATTGAAGATTTGAGAAGTATATTGAAATGATCAATTAGTTATGTAACTGACATTTCTACTTCTTAATTTATGACTTGGGGAACTTCAGTTTCTTAAACATTTATAAAATTCATACTCAAATTTTTTACATTAAGTACAGATGAATTATTAAAAATATATTAAAATAATTATCAATCAGAAACTAATTTCAACATTACAATGAAGGTGATGGATGATACAATTGAATTTAAAGTGAGATTCAAACATTTCTGGAAATACCAATTGGATTGGTAAGCAGAGCCAAAAAGGGAATGTTCTGACAGCGATTCAGGCTGGCTGGGTGACTGTAATTGAGAAGATATTGCCTTAGACCGGGTGGAGGGACATTCGTCAGAGTCCAGTGATTGTGTCTGCTAGAGAAGCATGAACTCCATAAATAATCACTGGGCATAGTGGCCGCTTCAGGACTCAGAAAGAAAACTGGGATCCATAGTGAGACGTAAAGACAGGACACAGCGTGGGTCAGGGCACTGAGGGCTGGAGTCAATCGCTTCTGCTTTCCCTCTGGGCTTTCACACCTCGGGAAGACCAGAGAGCGTGCCTTTGTGTTACACAGTATGCAGGAGAGGCTGCCTTCCTGTAACTTCCTGAGCACTTGAGAGCTGGGGTTAAAGGGTATTCAGAGGTGGCCTGTGAGTTCACCTAAAAGTCCCATCAGTAGCTTAATACAATTCTCCTGAAAATGGTCAGAATATCACGCTGTTCTGATGGGATAATCAAATTTTTATTTATTACGGTAATCATAACCATATTTTTGTCCTCATTCTGGGAGACCTGGAGAGACTCTAGATAGCATCTCCCCTCACCACATTTTAGGGTGTGGGTGCAGTACTAGTCCCTATTTCAGACCATGGGGGAGCCCCATCTTGGCTCCACGGTTCCAAATTAATATGACCAGAGTGTGTTTTTATGTTATAGCCTTTAGCTACACTGGTCACTGAAAAACCGACATGTTCTTAGAATCCAGATGGTGTGCTTTTTTACTGTCCTTACTGTAGATGACATGGTGACGAGACACCCTTCACAGAGGAGCTGTGGAAAGCGTGGTTGAACTCGTCAGTAGAGGCCTGTAGGAGGAACCGGGGTAAGGTCCCCTCCAACAGTGTGGGGAAATGATGTTCCTGAGACGTTGACTGAAGGTGGGTAGAGTAAAACTTATCACATTCCCAGGTTCTCCATAGCCTGCCCCTGGTGTGCGAAGATATCAAAAGGTCGTGCGTGGAGAAGGAAAAGATTTGTGCGTGAAGATGTAGATTGATACAGCGTCCGATGAAGGCGTTCTGGACCGAGGGTTTGGCCTCTGGTAGCAGGATGGGGTCAGAAGGAGGAATCTGCAGTGTTTGCGCACTCCATGATCAGTAGCAAACGTTACCACAAATTTTAGCAGAGAACACCACCTGGCTGTGCTTGCTCTGTCCCTATGCCTGCTATATGCATCAGGCCTTCATGGTCACCAGGGGATGGAGCCACTCGGTGAAGAGCTAGTGGAAAACTGAGTCAAGGAAACATCCTCTGTCTTCACTCACCATGAGTCGTTCATACCTGCATACTGAAATGCTGCCCCGGAGACAGATGTTCACTCACCCTGAAACAGAATTGGGCCAGCCCTGTAGCCTAGGGATTATGTGAGCTGGGTCCCACGTGACTGACCACATGGTTTGAGTTCCAACCCTGGAGACTTGAAAATGATGCCAGGTGCGTGTGTGCATGTGTACGTGTGTGCGTGTGTGTGCATGTGTGTGTGTGTGTGTGTGTGTGTGTGTGTGTGTATGTACTTGAAATCCTGACAGGATGGAGAGAGGGATAGAAGGCTTGTGAAATGACCACTTACCACCATTGACTATTAGGCGACACTGGCTTGATTTATAGAGTAAATTTATAGGGAAGTCAGGCTGAATTTTATACTTTTTAAATTTTTAAATAATTGTTCCTGCTATTCTCACTCTCTCCCTCTGTGTGTGTGTATGTCCCTCTGGTAAGAACATGCTCTTTCTTTTTTTATTTTTTTAGAGGTTTTCGCTATAGGGCGCGTGCGCTCGCCAGAGACAGAGAGACAGAAAGTGAGAAATCACCCCCCAGGGGGGATGGCCACGCCACAATCCCTTCTCCATTCTCCTCTCGGGATCTTGGGCACACATGCACAAGCGCCAGCGTGAGTTCTAAGCCACCGGGTCCCGGACGCGAACCGTGGTCAACTACGTGAGAGTCCAGCAACATAGCCACTACGCTAACTGCTGGTTCCCCTAGGAACATGCTCTTTCTTACAATTAAAAAAAAGTGAGAAGTTATGTAAGTCTCAAAGAAGACTGAACTGTACCTTCAGAGAGTATTGAAAATATTAGTTCTGATTCAGATGAACTGATTAGAATTAATTTATCATTTTGTTTTCTTTTGCCACTATTCAATAGATACGGAGCTAACAAGAACATGAGACCACTAGGAAATACAACAAAATATAATAAATAAAACCCCTGAGAAATAAAGGATCTATAAGTTATTTACACAATTGAAAATTCTATGAAAATATTTTGATATATGGAAATGAGTCCCACTCATAGTGTCTTAGAAGTAGTGCCACAATGTGGGAGCTGGAAGCCTCTCGTAAGGCTCAGTGTCAGTTCCTGGGCCAACCTGAGCTACCACATGTGGCTGTGTGTGCCGTAATTCTGACTGACTGCGAGGCTGGGAGCAGGAGGGTGGTGACAAAGGGTGACTCTACTGAAAAACGTATCTCTGGGGTTTTCCCTTTGCTCTCCCTCATAAAAGAAAAAAAAATCATGCCAACTACTCTATTCTGCATTGTTTTTACTTCAGAAGTAACTTGAGGGTGCTTCCTTGTGTCAACCTTTAGAATAGGTACCAAGTGAAAAATCAATTCTGGGTCTGGGCTCAATGGCAGAGGTGGTAGAATGCTGCTACATGATTCTAAAGTCATCACGGAGGTTCGGGTTTGGATCCCTGGTTGACCTAAATGCAAACGTGCTCACATGACTTGTGATACCGACCAGGAGGCCAGTGCAGTGAGATTCTGTGAAGGTACCTGTCTCCTACTTTCCTAATAAATAAAGCAAAGGTAAGGAAAAAAAGTAACTTCCACATTTTCGAGAAACATGAATAGCAGGAAAATTATTTAAAAATATAAAATGAGTAAAATTCAGCCTGACTTCCCTTAATGTTTCTCTGTAAAGAAAACCAGAGTCACTGAATAGTCAATGCTATGCTATGTTCCAAGGCCAGATTTTTCTTTTAATGGAATATTTAGGTTTCAGTTGGGATAAAAGATCACAGTAACCATTTTTTATGAGCCATTTTCATTATGCTAGTATTTTATATTAGCATTCTGTCTTGAACAAAGG